AAAAAAAAAAAAAAAAAAAAGAACCCTGACGTCACATGCACATTTTACTCACAGTCAATTCAGTGCTAGCTGAATCAACTGAAATGGAGACACATACCAGGTGAAAAATTATTCCCTTTAATCTAATTTAAGTTTTGAAGACAATTTGTAGTACAGGAGGCAAGAAGAGATCCATACTCAGAGCAATAGCTAAAAACTGGCAAAAAAAACAAACAACAAACAAAACTTCTGAAAAGTAGAGTCCTTCTGGTCCAGGCTGCGTTAGCTCAAATCCCTGCCAAGCTGTTCCCATCTGATGCTGGCAGGCCTTTGGCTCCCTGGGGGAGAAGAGTCTCCTGAGCGACTCCACAGAACCCTCAAGATTCACCCAGCACCACCCACATTCCCTCTCCCGAGAAGTGCAACACCCTGCCTCTCAGCACCACACTGCTTCCTCAAGAACGCTGATATTAGTCCAAGAACTGCAGAAGCACTTAAGGGCTTCCCAGAACTTTCCTGACTCAGGTGTCATCACAAAGCACCTCCCTAAACTCTGTAAGGCTGTCAGTGCACAAACACAAACTCAGGCCTCCTCTCTGCACCTTGCTCTCATGCCATCTCCACAACCAACACTCATCTCTGCCCAGCCAAATGTGATCCAGCTCCACAAGAATCTCCTCCACAAAGTCTTGTGTCAAACAGCAGCATCAATTGCTACCCCTCCTGAACACTGGGACATCCTTGTGCCAGTGCAACGCTCAGAGTCAATATTCACTATCCAAACACCGACACTGAGTAAATGTGGATACTTTGAGATAAGGCTGATGTCCTTTAACATTCTATTTCTTCCTACTCGCTATCCAAAATTCAGAAACCAGATATTCTGACAACATGGCATCTGAACATGCTACAGGAATTCAGGAGCCACACAGACTCTGATGGTAAGGATTACCTGTACTGCCCTCAAACACAAGAGTGATATATTCATGTCTCTAGGGAGCATTTCCCAATTCAGTGACTTTTCACCAGCTCTTTAGTGGATCTGATATTGACCTCTAGACCTAAACCCAAAGGACTCAGACATCAAATGGCCAGCAGTTAGCATTCCTATGAACTTGAAAGCACAAAAGAACCAAATACATTCACTTATTGTATATATGTCCTGTATCCCTCCAAAAAAACAAACTGTTGTACCCTCCTCTTCCACCCTAGCAAAAGACCCCAGCCAGTCCTGATAGTAACAGTAGGAGTGCAATAAATACTTGTTGAATAAAATAAATGAGGTAGCCAAGAGATAAGACAGATCCCCCATAGCTCTGACGGAGGGAAATCCAGACACGGTAGAGCTCTTATCTGTATTTTCGGAACCAGGACATGTCAGGCAAACACGCTGTAAGAGAATGATGGTGCTAATCATGGAAGATTAGCCCGTGCTTTTTTTCCAGGCCCCCTGGACTCACCTCCTGGGCCTGGTGCCTATACTGTCCACTATGGAAAATGCCTCATCCCACCACTAAAATAACTGCTTCAGATCAGGGAAGAGCAATGGAGGCAGCAATTTACTTCAAAGCAACTTTGATGGACCCTGATATTATTTCCTAGCATAAATCTATCCTATGGACACAGATTCTGAATCACTTCAGACCTAGTCTATATACAATGGTTGTTTCACAAGGAATGTCACTCTGAGTCTTGTGCACAGGAGACTGGCTTCAACGATAGTCCCTTCTCTACGACACTCTCACTTAGAGGAGGCCAGGTATTTGGAAAACTTTGGTGCCAGAGACGGCTTTTCATGCCACTTCCTGATCAGCACTAAGTATTACCCTCCTGTTTTAGAAAATGAATCAACTTCTCCTTAAAAAGAGCTGGGGTCGGGGGTGGGAAGAGAGGGTGGGTGGAAGGAAAAGAAAAAAGAAATTAATACAATCCAAGCCATGCTCATTTTCCATCTTGCTTTAAGATCTCCCTTCAGTTGCAGAGGCAAGGGAGGACTAAGGATTTCAATGGAATATGGGGAAATTGGCATCGCCCTACAGATTCCATTGGATTGCATGCTCTGTGAGAGCAGGGACTAGCCCTTGCTCTGCTTGGTGCCAGACACTCAGTGCCCAGAACTGTGCCTAGCACACCTACAGCTGAGTAACTCTCTTATTAAGTGGACAGAACTGATTTATGGCTGGGCACGGTGGCTCACGCCTGTAATCCAAACACTTTGGGAGGCCAAGGTGGGCGGATCACCTGAGGTCAGGAGTTTGAGACCAGCCTGGCCAACAATACCAAATTTTTGGTCTCTACCAAAAATACAAAAATTAGCGGGGCATGGTGGCATGTGCCTGCAGTCCCAGCTACAGTCAGTCCCCGGATGAGGCAGGAGAATCTCTTGAACCTGGGAGGCAAAGGTTGCAGTGAGCCAAGATCACACCACTGCACTCCAGCCTAGGTGACAGAGTAAGACTCTGTCTCAGAAACAAAACAAAAAAAGAACTGATTTATAATTCAACCTCCAGCTCCAGAGAGGCTCCATGTGAGCGGGGTTTGTGGTTTTTCTTGTGCCCTTTACCCAGGCTCCCAGTGACTTGGGAGAGCCTCACAGGCACAGAGTGCTTTTTTCTTTCTTTCTTTTTTTTTGAGAAGGAGTCTTGCTCGGTCGCCCAAGCTGGAGTGCAGTGGCGCTCTCGGCTCACTGCAAGCTCCACCTCCTGGGTTCATGCCATTCTCCTGCCTCAGCCTCCCGAGTAGCTGGGACTACAGGCGCTAATTTTTTGTATTTTTAGTAGAGACGGGGTTTCACCGTGTTAGCCAGGATGGTCTCGATCTCCTGACTTCGTGATCTGCCCGCCTCGGCCTCCGACAGTGCTGGGATTACAGGCGTGAGCCACCGTCCTCTGCCAGAGAGCTCATTTTTAGCTACTCTGAGTTGGAAGGGCAGACACAAAGAGTCTGTACCTCTGATGCTTTGTGGAATGCTGGAAAGTACCATTAAGTTTTGAGGATCAGCAAAATATATTTAGTATCACAGATCTATATATAATTATACATTGTTTCTACCTAAACAATTTCAATCTTTAGGTACCTGGCAGGTTACATTTTAAAGACCTTTCAAGGGGAATGGCCTCTATAGAAAAAGGAGAAAACAAAAAGTTCAGCAAAATCACAAATGAGCCTTTAAAGGAGGTTCTGCTAGTATGTAACGGACAGGAAAAGAGACACTGAAAAATCAAATGGAAAGCCCAGATGCAAAAAAGACAAACTCTGCCAGTGTGAGAGTATAAATGTCCTTCTTAATCAAAATAGGAAAAGCAAAGGCCTGGCAGCTCTGATAAATCAAAAACAAAAAGGAATTTTTGGGACCCTCTGTCCTGTCACGCAGACACAACCCCTCACATCTCAGGTTTCTCCTCAACCATTCTGGACCAATAAGTACTTTCATTTGTTGCTTACAGACTCATTACTGTTTTTGCTGCCCAACTATTTCCTTTTAGGAAGTGTGGTGTGTGCGTGGTTTGGTAACCTCACACAACAGCATGTTATAATTCTCAAAGTACTTTCACACAGATCACTTTCTTTGAAGATTTCAGTTTGAGCTCCCAATGGAAACAAAGACAAACAGGAAAGACCAACAGTCTGCAAGGGGGCTGAATCTGCTAATGATTCTGAACAGTTCTGCAGGCTCCACAGAGTTGGAGAAATGAAGACAGAAATGCAAAGCTTGTTGGCTGACTCACCCAAGGTTAAAAGGCAATAAGGCCCAGATCAGAGCCCAAGGCTGTTTTTATTAAACACTGCACAATTCTTGCACAGTGATGCTGCTTTAGCCACTAAGCTTCACGGATACAAATAAATGTTCCACACACAGGGTAAGTACTCCTTCTCCTTTGGCAAAGCTGCCACATAATCTTTAAAAAACTCAGGAAACAAAAAGCCATCTCTTCATTAAATATCTGCACTACACGCAGGACAGCCTTGGACCAAAGCTAAAGTTGATTTTGAGAGATCTGCCAAGGTGTGAGTTTTCACAGCAGCACTATCAATGTAAAGTATCCCTCAATAGGATGATCGGCTGTTTCCACCACAGCTACCACTGAGAAAACCCCATTTCTCAATCCCATTTCACAAAGGGAAAACATGTCTAGGGTTATTGTCCTATATTTGTTTATCTAACTTATGCCCCACCTTGTTGCAAAAGTATTTAAAGCAGGGCGTGGTGGTTCACACCTGTAATTACACCACTTTGGGAGGCTGAGGGAGGAGGATCACTGGAACTCAGGGGTTGGGGGTTGCAGTGAGCCATCATTTTGACACAACACTCCAGCCTGGGTGACAGAGTGAGACCCTGCCTCAAAACAAAAAAAAGTAAGCAGTAGTACTTAGACAGATCTGACAATTTTCAATTATTCAAGATGGTTTTTCAATGTGGAGATAATTGTATAGTTTATCTAGTTTTGCTCCCCCTCCCATCCCTACCTCACAAGTATACAAACATCTATAATCCAGATATAAATTTGTAATATTCTTCATCTGGTCCAACTCAGGATAAACTGCACAAGGTAAAGTAAAATTCTACTGAATCATATACGTAATTACCTTCCTATTAGTACTCACATTGGGCCAGGTTTAGGTGGGCTCCAGGTTTATGAAGATGTCAGACTGGCAGGAGAGTAGTGTGGAAAAGTTAAAGAATGGGGATGGGAGGGTGCTGCTGATGGAAAGCATGTATCTCTTTCACTCCATCCTCCCCTTCTCTCACACCAAGTCTGTGACCCTGGAATCACCTGTCCAGGTCTCAACGACTCTCTGCCAAGCAGAGATCATATTGGGAAAAGCAAAGTGGTCTGGAAATGGAAGTGCTTTAGCTTCACTCATATAAGGGATCATTTTAACATGGACAATCCTTCTCTGAATTATCCAGTAGGGACTAAATCTGCAGGATAAATTGTTTACCAGATCCTGGCCCAGAAGAGCAAGCTTGTTCCCTGATTCTTAGGGCAGCACCATGGATGCCTCTTTAAGATCACAGCCCTGAAAGTGTTTTCAGTTTAGAGTGGACATGATAAAGTGCTTCCTCTCTTTTCTAAAGACATAAATGATTTTTTGAGTTTTTAACAGAGGGCTTTCCTACTCTGAGTTGTGTTTCACTGGTGAATGGTAAGCTACTTTACTACGACCTTTTTAAATATTCAGCATATTACCTGACCCAGAACATTTCTGAGATCTGAACTGCAGTCTTCTCTTGCATACTAGTTGTCACTGTAAATACACATGTAAAATCATACCAGGGGTAAGCAACAACTCAGAAAAATCATGAGCCTATAAAATAGAAGGCTAAACCATAACCTGCTTTTCGAGCCCCCACACAGCCCTAAGAACTAGCCAAGTGCTGGGCGCGGTGGCTCACGCCTGTAATCCCAGCACTTTGAGAGGCCAAGACGGGCGGATCATGAGGTCAGGAGATCGAGACCATCCTGGCCAACATGGTGAAACCCCGTCTCTACTAAAATACAAAAAGAAATTAGCTGGGCATAGTGGCAGGCGCCTGTAGTCCCAGCTAGCGGGAGGCTGAGGCAGGAGAAGGGCGTGAACCCGGAAGGCGGAGCTTGCAGTGAGCCAAGATTGCGCCACTGCACTCCAGCCTGGGCGACAAAGCAAGACTCTGTTTCAAAAAAAAGAACTAGCCAAGCAACCTGACAGTAGGAAAATCCGTCTTAGGTGGGCCCAGGTATCATAATCCCAAAGACATGAGTGGAGCAAAATAGGTTTTAAAGGATTCTTGCAACTGAAGACTCTAGGAGCTAAGGAGAGTCTAAATAACCATGTTCAGTGCCCAATTACCTGAAAAGTGGACTCCAGGGAAATTTTGTTGTTGTTATTTCCTTCCCCCCCCCACCCCAGGAAACATTTTATCTTTAATATTCAGGAGCAATAATAAAATATTTTGGCCACTGTTCCTTCACGGATTCCACAAGGCACTTAATTCTCATGTCAGGCTTTCTGAAATGCTTGCCCTGGAAAGTGTCACTTGATGGCTCACACACTCCTTAAGGATTAGGTGCTGACCCTAATCAGGCACAGGCAGAAATAGCTCAGGAATCCACATGCTCAGACTCATAACTATACTATTTTGTAAAAAATAAAAACATATAAAAAATGCCTTCTGGCTGGACAAGGAGGCTCATGCCTGTAATCCCAGAACTTTGGGAGGCTGAATTGGGTAGACTGATTGAGGCCAGGGGTTGGAGACCAGCCTGGGCAACATGTTGAAACCTCATCTCTGCTAAAAATACAAAAATCAGCCAGGAGTGGTGGCGCGCGCCTGCAGTCCCAGCTACTCGGGAGGCTGAAGCATAAGAATTGCTAGATCCCAGGAGAGGCTGCAGTGAGCTGAGATTTCACTGCTGCACCCAGATCTCCCCAGCCTGGGCAAGACAGACTGAACCAAAAAAAAAAAAAGCCTTCTAGTGATTCTCAGAAGTCCAAAAACCAGATAACTATGGCCTCCACTTCCATTTTTCAGATATCCATTACAATGCTATTTGACCTCAAAGTGAATTTTATTGTTCCACACATGCAATAGATTACACCAATTTCACAACTCCCAGAATCCAAGCCTACAAAGACCCTTCCCACCAGGCATCTTACCAAAAACGGGCTTCGTCTCCATCTTCCTTTCTGTCACAGTTGAAAAACTGCCCTTCCTAATTAAGCCAACCAACTTCTTACCTCAATAAAATCCTTGTTTTTCAATAGCACATACAGTATTTCCAGTGATGAATAGTGAACTGTCTTTCATCTCACACAGTAACCTCCGTGAAGAATATCCACTTTGTTCTTTACTGTATATTCCTGGCATGCTAACTGCATCCTCACGGACAATTTTAAGTGACTGAAAACTCAGGCAAAGAAAGGCAAGAGGGCAAATAGAAGGGCACAGGACACCAATGCTTTTCAAATTTTTCTCACTGCGACCTACAGAAACACACTGTAGAACACCTTCTAATACACTCACACGTGTGTGTACACCTGAAGCAAGTGTCAAGAAACAATACCCTTACTAAGTGCAACACTGTCTGATATTTTCTGTTTCACGTTTTAAATGGCCGTGATCTACTAAACTGATTTCCAACTCACCATAGGATTCAGTTTGAAAAACACTGCAATAAATCAAACCTTACAGTTGCATTCCACAAGCTACTAATGAACTCTTGAAAAGCCAGCATACAGCAGCGACGCTGACCAACTACAAGATCCAAACCCCCAGGGGGGCAGTGTCCTTCTGTTCAGCAGTGGCAGTTCCCCACCACCACCAGCTCTGGGAGTTAAGTATCTCCCAAACTCCCAGAGTTTCCCAAGTAGCCCAAGGTGTCTGTCATATGCCCTTTTAACCTCTTTATAAATTCAGTCCCATCCCTCTCTTACGGTGGCAAAGTTCATTCATCGTCCGCTGTGGAAAGCAAAACTTCCTTTTTGTCCCCTCCAGGAACCAAAAATTAAATGACCAGGTTGGTGCCCGTTGTGCCTTTGTGATCTATTTGTGTGGGTGACATATATATAGAAAAGAGTCTCAGTCTCTCCCTTCATCTTTCCAGTCTTAATCACTGATAGATGCAGTCTCTGGTGAAATGAGAAACCAGGGAACCCCCTTGCCTGGGGGAGGGCGCACTCATCAGCGTGACAGAGTGAAAGCAAAACCTCAATCCTCACACCACAGAGGCGTCTGGATAACTCATCTCCAGACCCAAGTTGGGAAAGGGAAGGGCGGCGCGGAGAGCGGAGAAGCCCGAGGAGACGCACTGGAGTGACCTGCGACAGCTGAACGCAGCCCGCCCTCTCCAAGTCGGCTCCGCAACCCGGGGAAAGCAGGTGAGAGCCTGCCACGGACTTGGAAGTCGCAGAAGCCGCCCACGGAGAGTCGGAGGGAGGAGGGTCCGGGTGAGGGGCCTCCCCTCCCCGTCGGGACCCCTCCCACTGACCCTCTGCCTCCCACTCTGGCCTCTCCTCACTCACCCCGGGGAGTGGGCCTCCCCGAGTGGAGAGAAAGGAAGAGAAGGAGAGAATTAGGGGCCTGACGCCCACCCACTACCCCACCATAC